TTACAGTTAAGTCTGTCTGCTTCTTCACCAGAATAAGTGAACTAAACCTCTGTAACTGCACCTGAAAAAAACAGGTTTAAAGTTATATAGCTCTTTAGCTCCATTTAAACCAGTACAGGAGCAAACAAACTTAACAGCTATAGTCAAACAGCTTGTACTGTTACAATTTAGTACTGGTGTAATGTTTCTGCCCACATGCTCACACTTACTTTTCACTTAGAATTCAATGCAGCAATTTCTCTCTTCACCATAGCTGAACACCCAAAATACAATCAAGTCTTCATCTTCTACATCAATGGGAGCCAGTCTTTTTGGTAGGCATACCACAAATTAGCCCCACACCCTCCCTAACTCCACACTCTGACCTCCTTCCCTTGCTCTCATGAGTAGGCAAAATGGTGGATCCGGCCAGTGGCCAGAATCCATTTCCCAACAGCCCCTTGCCTACACAGCTATCATGGCTCTATGCTTCCCAGGTCTCCATGGAGACTGGTCAGGAGCTGTGTGGGCAGGACAGCCAGCTGGGGAGGTACCCCCTGGGGCCAGGATCTTGCAGTCGTGACACCACAGAGTAGGGCCTGGGCAGAGGCACAACCTGCTCCCTGTGGAGTCTCAGCCATTGCAGGAATGTTGGGCTAGAGTACCTGGGCAGCAGGGCTGGGACCAGTGGCAGTAAGCAGGAACTGCCGCCGCCACAGGGGCTGCTGGGAAATGGAGTCTGCCGCAGCCCCGATCCAGCCTGTGGGACAGACACTGCCCACCCCTACTCTATCTGCTGTTCTTTTTCCTGCTCCCTGCCATATCAGCCACCCTGCTGCTTGTCCCCTCCCCAGTCTGCTCTGTGCCACAGAGCTTGCTTATGCCATTGCGGCACACGTGTGTTCTAGATAATCTTTTGTTCAAAAGCAAACTTTCAAATTTCAAACCTCACCTGGGCACATCTACCAACTCCACCATTGTACCGACGGAAAGGAACACACTGCTTCTTTAGCGTCACATCCTTCAAGTACTTGGTGGCTTTCCGGATATGCATGCCCTTGATAGCTTGGGCAGTTTCCCGAGTGTTCTGACAAAGCAAAGCATAGTACATTAATGAGTATGTTTCTCCAAAAGCTCTTCCCTACTGACAAATTAAAGTATGCATTTACCTGAACACATGCAAGTCTCTTCTATCTGTACCCCTAATTTCTCCATAAAAATAAAACAATGTCTTCCTTCTTTCCCAGTTTATAAAAGAAAGGAGCTGATTAATCCCATCTTGCTACTCCTGCTACGTTATATTATTGCAGAAACAGTTTAAAAGAAGCCAAATCAGGGAAATTAATTTTGGGTTTTTAGTGCAGTTTTGGTAAAGTTTTAATGAAATTTAGTGAAGTTTAGTGACTCATTCTCTTCTCTCTGCAGAGAATACCTTAATTCTGATCTGTCTCACGACAATTACATTCTCTCAATTTGGGAGTCTCCATGTCCATTCCATTTAGCAGTTTTGTGATTCCACTATGACCATTATCTTGTTTTATCTCAGAGGCAGGAATTTTCAAAAAGTTACATTCAAGTCCACTAATCATTTGAATATACTTGCTAAAGCATTAAACACTAATATTAAAGACAGCTTTTGGTGATGTTAAACACAACAGATAAAAAACATTCAGGTAGTTCGGGCACATAACATTTTTCATTGACTACTTCAGAAGGACGCGATCAGAAAAAAAATGTTCATGATAAAAAAAAGTGATTCCTACAGCTGAATCAAAAGCGATAGATAAATAGAAAAATAAGGGAACAAGTAAAAAAGCCATACTGATCTCAAATCCGTATCAGAACACAAGTAGAGAAAGATAAATTCACACTGCCAAACTTTGGAAAATTAATTCAAGAATTAAATTTCTATTTCTGCCTGTAAAATGGTGTAACAGTATCCAAGTCCCAGATTTGTGTGTCACACAACGATGACAAACCAATTGTGGCACAAGAAAAAAAAATGGGATTGATGGGAGAAATGGGCTGCTCAGAATTCAGCTGTTTTCATGATGAATCCAAAGGTGTCCTAAGAAAGTCATCACTGCAGCCCCAGAGCTTTTCTTCAGCCAGGAAGGACTCACCCTCCACATTTCACTGTAGTTGTTAGTCCATTTGCTTTCAGAAAACTGCCAAACATGCTGCACATACCTTAAAGTGGACCCGGAGGTTGGAGCCCCTGGACTTGCAGGCTGTGGAGACAAAAGGTGAATGGTTGCAATGTGAGCTGCACTAAGTCGGTCTACTGGTGCTGAATCACAGAAAGTGAGGGCTGGAAGGGACCTCAAGAGGTTGAGTCCTACACCCCCTGCTCAAAGCAACCCCAATTAGATCATCCCAGCCAAAGCTTTGCCAAGCTGGGCCTTAAAAAGCTCCAAGGATGGAGCTCCCACCACCTCTCTGGTAACCTGGTTCAAGTGTTTTACTACCCTCCTAGTGAGAAATGTTTTCCTAATATCCAACTTAAGCTTTCCTTGCTGCAACGTCAGGCCATTACTCCTCATTCTGTTTACATCCAGTGCTTCACCACCCTCCTAGCTAAACAGCTTTTTGTCACGTCTAACCTAAGCTCCCCCTGCTGCAATTCCTGAGCAC